GCTCCTCCCAGAATCTCAGCATGGGTTTAGGGCATCTAGAGGCACAACTGACATGACCTTCACAGTTTGCCAGTTGTAGAAAAAATGCTGGGAACAACATAAACCTCTCTCCATTGACTTCTTTGACTTCATGAAAGCCTTTGCCAGTCAACTGAGAAGCCTTCTCAGTATTCCTTACTGTGATGTTACATCTGACCACAAACACGCCTGCAGCTGGAGTTGACCTAAACGACTGAATGGAAAACCTATACCACCCTGACCTCTATCATCAAGTTCCAGTATGTTGATGATGCTGTAGTGTGTGCTCACCGAGAAGCAGACCTTCAGAAAATCATCAACACTTTTACTGAGGTATACAAGCAAATGGGATTGATGTTTAACATTCAGAAGAGTAAGGTTTTCCACCAACAAAACTTTTAATGAGCAGTCCCCAGCTCTGGTAATTCAGATTTATGGTGAGACTCTGGAGAACATTATTTCTTGTACCTCAATAGCTCTCTGTCGCAGAAAGCTGATATTGACAAAGAAAATACAAGTGCAGCCTTTGGACACCTGAGGTAATGGGTGTTTGAAGATAGCAACATCATATCCAAAACCAGGCCCATGGTTTATCAGGCAGTCATGATCCCCATGTTACTCTACAGGTCAGAGACTTGGCAACGTGCAGGAGATACCTCAAGTCACTGGAGAAGTATCATCAATGCTGCTTGTGGAGAAAACATTTTAAGGACATCCTCAAGGTCAAAACTGTAACAGCAACATCAAGTTGTGGGAGACTATCACCCAGGATTATCCCAGATGGAAAAATTCTGATGCAGTGAACTCAGTAATTTGAAATCTTACAATGACAATAGGAAACAGAAAAGCAGGAGCAGCACAAACAGTGTGCCATGGACTGAACCAAGAATCCAAAGCCACCCACCCCACATGAAAACATGTGCCTAAATTGCAGCAGAGTTTGTCAATCCTAAATCATCCCTGTCTGCCATATTTGGACCCACAGATAAAGCAATCATGGAAGGCAATCAACCTCAACTGTTGGGGATTGGCAGTGAAATGAGTCTTCTATCTCTAACAGTTGAAGGAGGAAAGTAAAAATATGATTCTTTATGGGTTACATGTACAACCAATGTTATATTAGTATAAACGAGATTTACCATTTAGTTTTTCCTATTTCAGATTAAGGCGTAAGCACTTAGGTGGGTTTTTCAAAGACGCTTCAGGGTGTCAAGTTATCAACTCCCACTGAATTTTAATTTGCATCACTCATCCCTTTCGCTTCTTTAAAAATACCAACTTCACTCATTTCCATTCTTCCCTTTTTGTTTCTTCATTGGCTACCAACTGAAGGCACATGCATGATGGTGCTTTTAAGCAGGTGTTACAGAAATTTCAAAAGTCATTGTGCAAAGCTTTGGGACTGGTGATCAAAGGTAGATTTCAAATCCTTGTGAGAAAATAAAGGTGTTTTTGATTTTGCTTCAATTTTCCCCTCAGAAAAGGGAGTATTTAATGGTAGCTAAGTATGTTGTGGGCCTCAAAGATGCATGCATTATACTCACTAGAGTTTGGCATGGGAACCAAAGTGGATCTAACCTACCTAAGTACTAGAGATAGCGAGCTTGGTTTCAGTCTTCTAGATGAAAGCCCAAATTACTAAGATATGGATTCATGCTCCCTCATATTTGCTCTCCTTACAGCAGGAATCTTGCATTTCTTGCTACGTAATGACCTAGTTTCAACAGAAGTTTCAGCAGGCTGCCTCCATTCAGCTTAGATTATAGCCTGTTAGTTATGGAACTCTCCTCCATGGTGGGGAATGTAGGACCGAATCTCCTTTTTTTGTAGTTGGCTCTTGCATTGTAACTCTGGGCATCTTACTGTTATTTTACTATAACAGGCATTTTTTATGAAAGCCCTTGCTCCTGGAGTCATTTTATTACATGGTAATTTCAGCCTTTAGCATTTTATAAGGCAAGGTTTGGGTTCTCCTGATGATGACAAAATCTTTCAGAAGTGAGTTGCAAAGACTCAAACACAAAGGGCAAACTTAAAAAAAAAAGTATTATTATTAAAGCCAATCCCATTACTGTATTTACTTGAATAGATGACACCCAATTAGATTCAATAGGAGGATCTCATTTATGGAGATGGGGGGTTACTTGACTGGACAATTTTGTGGTAATGAAGGGCTGTGTTTTAGGTTTCCCTCTGGTTTGCTCCTCTCAGCCTTTTGGTTAGGAGCAAGTGAGACTAGGGGGCATCCAAACTCCAAGGCCTCTGGCCTTGGGGTTTGCACATAGGTTGCCAGCCATTAATTTGGGGAGTACCTGAAGCCCCAGACTGGTGGGTCTGGGATGGACGATGATTACCCAGTGGTAGAGCCACACCAACTAGAAAAATTGAGCTCTGCTCAGTTGAAATTTGGAACTGGACTACTGGCCTTTGCCCAATAGAATTTAGAACTGATTTGGCCATTGAAACAAGCAAAAAAATGGGCCAGGTCATGCTCAGTATTGGTTGCATTTAATCAACTTCATAGCTAGTTTCTACTGCTAAGCACATGCTGCTTTTGGCGGCAGTTTAATGATAGACAATGTGTTCAGCAATATTTTGTTGTATGTGATTATAAGATGAGGGGCTTTTTCCTCCATGCCATTTGGAGGAGAAAACCTCATCTTGGAATCGAGTAAATACAGTACATTTTGGGATTGAGTCCTGACTTTTGCATATCTGAGATTGATAGCACAGTATCATTTTTTATTTCAGTGTTTTCCATCTCATTTTATAACAGCTTCCTCTTCTACATTGCCTTCAATGTGTCCTATTCACCAGTAAGGATGGGAAAAATGTAGCTGTACCAACTGTAAGTCACCTAAAGATTCCACTATAGCGGCCCTTCGAAGTACAAAACAGATGACCCTTTGAGTTTGGCTTTGATGTATATTGTGAAACATTGATATTTTCCTGTCCACATCAAGGAAACATTAGAGTAGAGCTGTTAGGTATTTTTGGACAAAAAGATTTTTCTATTGAAAACCTTAAATTTTTGTGGAATATACTATTTTCTTTTAAATTTTTGTAGAAAAGATTTCTTAGTTTTAGGTTGGAACTCTGATTTTGAGCAAAAAAAAGGCCCAATCCTAGAATAGCCATCCCACTCATTAGACATGCAACAGACCCCACTTCCCTTTAGACTTCTGGATTAGGCAAAGAGGGGTCTTGAATCTGGGTCTCTCTAACCTGATCTGCATCCAAACCTGAGATATTTGCTTGCTGGTATCTTTACCCACCCTCTTCACAGACCCACTTTAAATATTTCCTGTCCAGGCTTGTATGGGAGGAAATAATGTATTATAAAATTAAGACATCTTATTTTATGCATGGTAACTTCTGGATCAATGCTTCATATCTTTTGATGTTTACTTCTCTACATTTCTTACCATTGTATGTTTATAATGTGGAGAAGGAGACAGACCTAATTCTTCTATTAGGTTGTTCTTTTGAAGGGCAACATTTTAGCTTTCTAGTATAATACTTTCTCGTCCATATTTATGATGGTGGTTTGCTAGTCAGAAACCTAAATGCCTCACATTATCTACTGAAGAATATTTAAAAAAAATAAAATATAACCCTCAAGGAACATTTTTATGTATGTTTACTAATGAAGTGCCTTTATAGTTTGGCCATGATAGCATAATACTCCTGTAGGCATTGATTTGTTATATGGATAAAGAAAGCAGAATTGTGGAAATTAAATTGGCATACAGGAAAAAGTCTTGCTGCAGCTACATGTTGCTTTTTCAAATCAGTTCTGCAAGAAACAGACAGCATGAAAAGGGAGAAAACCAGCTGTAAGATATGGCATGGTGACTAATAATAAGGCAGTATAGTTACTAGTTCAAATTCAATGAATTTAGCTCTAGTCAAGTTTCTGATGGTATTATAGTCAACTTGGCATAAATGACTAATTAGACCAACTTATTTTGCACTGGAACAAGAAGGAATTTCCCCCCTATTGAATGTACAATAAATAAATGAATATATAGAGAGAGGGAGAGAAAAGAGAAAGAAGGACAGAGAAATTTCCAGTTTGGGGATGAATTGTTTTGACAAATAATATCAACCATTTTCAAGAATAATAGGGACTGTCTGTGACAGTATTCATTTGGTTGAAAAGCCAAGCTTCTTTCAGAAAAAAATGAAATTTTTTTAGCTCTATCCCAAAAAGGCTTCTGATATAAAAGAAACGATGCTAGCAATTTACTTAGAGCTACAGTCTGACCACTCTTTAGAAGGCATGCAGTGGAGATAACAGGTAGAAAGGTGCAGTCCTTGCTGAATGGTTTCCGTATAGTTCAAGCAGAATAGTCACTGCTGTTTTGATTACCTTCTTAATAGGGCAAGGAGGCAGGGGGAGTAAGCAGAGCCTTCACTGCTTTCCCCTATGTGTAGACCACTATTCTACCTCTCAGAGCAGTAGCAATTTTCTGCGGTTCCACATACAGCAGGGAGTACCATCAGGAATTCTAACTCCCCCACACAGCCTTTTTAGGGGTTTTTTAGTTAGGAGAGATATAAAAAAGCCTAAATCTGTATTATTTGAGACCTATGTTTTATTTCAAAGATTTTTGAGAAAATCTAGGAGATAAGACTGAAAACCCTGAACAGCAGCAGCAAAAGCAAGAGACGGGAAAAAACAAAAAACAACTATCTTTTTCATATCCAACTGTTCATTGACTATAGCATATGAAATAAGACTAAGTTTTGCAATTTTTTTTAAAAGTAGGGCCACATATATTGAATAATTCTCTCTCTCTCTCTCTCTGAACACATGCAGGCTTAAATCAATTGAATTAGAGTTTGTACTTTTCCTACTCCCCTCATCCTGACTGGGCAATTTTTAGCCCCCATCCCTGGATAGGCAACTATTCGCACAGGCCCACCAAACCTCACTCCCACCCCTTCCTCCTGTAGACACGGTAGCTCCCAGGCCTCACCTCCAGCCCAATCTATGACCAGATGACTTAAAAAGTGAGCCACATGATCATAAATCAGGTACCATAAATGTGTATGCATACCCTTAGGGAGTTTGATGAGTTCAGAAAGCCCCTTCTGGTCCTATGTTCCTAGGTTCATACATACCTGGTTAGTATCATAAGAAACAAATGGAGAATCAGGACCTTCTCGGTACTTTTTCATCTTTTACCTGTGCATACAGCACTCTCTGCTGTGCTTTGCCAGATCAAACCCATTGAATCTTAACAGCTATTTTTCTTTTATTTCTTCTTCTCATTATGAGTAATGTGATTCCTTGTTTTACTCCTCTCATTTCTGAGGGTCTAACATGTCTTCCATTCCTGTATATATATATTATAGTATATTTGATATTGAGGTTTGAATATAAATACTTTAGGACTAAATTTCACTACGCTTATTCTATTGCTAATACCAAAATGCCCATTGGAGGGGGACTTTAAGGGTTAAGAGTCATCTTTAATGAGTTAAGAGTCCCAAGTGTAGGCCTGTAAATGAAGATCTGTCCTCTCTTTCAGTTCTCTGTGTTTTTGTCTTTCCACTAAGAAATTATTTTTACAAGAAATCAAAATGAGTGAAAGGGTTTTTGGGGGATTGTTTTATTGTTTGGTTTTGTTTTCAAATATCACAGGCCACAGAACTGATTTAGGAAGGAAACTTCAGAGAGTAGCAGCTTTCATTTACAGAAAATATAAGAAGCTCAACAATTTTTTTCCTTTTTTTGCTTTGTCTCCAACAAATGAAGTATGCATTGGAATATATTTAACTAAAAAACCCACAAGAAGCATATCTAATAGTTAAGAAAATGTTATGAAAACTGTGAAAAATCTTTATGTGCTATGGCACTGGTGAATGTCAATAAGAAATGAAAGCACTGTGGTGGTTTTTAAAAAAAATATATGATTCCTATCATCCTCCTCACTACATATCAGAAAATGCATCCACTTAGAACAAGGCATGGTTCTCGCAAATTATTATTAGTTGGGAATACATTTTATTTCAGGAAAAGGAAATCCTAGACTGTAACATAAACTAATGAATCAAACCACGTAAATTTTACAATGAGGAATGAAGTGACCATGACACACAAAATAAAATATGACACTTGTTTCATATTTGTAATTAGTAGAACTTGTAACTGATTAGTTATGAAAATGCCTTAAAATAACCAATAAAGTAAGTACCAGTTCAAACAGGATCAATCTCTATGCAACTTGAAAAGAACCTGTAGACCCTGACATAGCCTGAAAACTTGATCCCTTTATTTATTATAGTCTCCCAAACATTAAATAGAAAGTAAATCAAAACATCCAGCCCAATTCTGGGTGTTGCAGGGCTTTTGCTTCCAAGATCTCTTCTACTTTCCCTCTCTACCACCCTTAACTAGAGACACTTTTCCACTTCCTTACTAGCTTAGTTGAGACTAACTCAGTAGTGTAATTACACTGATTCTTATTGAAGGTTTTCAACACTTGAGTCTGTGGTGACTCTTTAGAACAACTCTGTATTGTAGTGTGGTACTCATGGTCTGCCAGCCTTATGGAGATACTAATTTTTTTCATCAGCAACTAAGTGCAGTGGAAAGACTACAACAGAATAGTTTTCCTGGGTTTAGATGAAGAGTTGTGATATGCACTGTTAAACTGGATAAATAAAATTCAGACTCCTTTTGATTTCTAACATTATTCACCAGTCTGTGTAGTTTTCTCACATATGGGAGCCATAGAAGTTACTTTGACAGAGCATGATTTATTAGCTTCAAATTTTAATCCAGTTAGATGCAGATACTATCCAGGATATATAGCATTTTTAGCCTTGCATGCTGGTTATGTAACAAGTCATCATACAGAAGGGAAGCAGAGCCTGCTGTTTAAGAGCCAAATTAAAACCCATGTCCTGCAGAGTGTTACTTTGGGAGAACAGGAGCAAGATATTTTGTGTCTGATCTTCTTGGTACATGGCTTGTGTTATGCAGCTCTCAGGGTTACTGTCCATTCAATTCTATACAGCTTCTTATATCACCCTCATTACTGTAGTGTCTCAATTCTTTCTAGCAGTATATTAAAGCAGTGTGAATAACATCGGTCACATGTAGTTAATTTTTTTCATCTTCTCCCTAGAGGAAAATACTATGTGGTGGAATATTTTGTTTTAGTATGGTGTTAGCTTGAGGGGTTTTTTTTAATGTAACTGCTTCTGTGTACTGATTTTAGAAAAAGCAAGACTGAAGCATTGTACTTTGCACTTGGAGCAGAAGGTGGTGAGGTTTGATGGTCCTTTGTTTCTGTGGGAGGTCACTCAAAAGTGTTAGACTGGTCTCCATCTCCTAAACAGAAAACCTTTATATGGCATAGAAAATTTAATTTCACAAGTGCAGAGTTGGGAGCTCCATTTTTCATCCAGAGATTTAAGTGATCTTTTAGATAGCATGTGGCCTTGAACTTTACTACTGGAAGCCAGTATTAAGAGCAGAGGACAAATTCAGTGTACCCATGGTAGCCTGTCTTCCTAAAGAGATGCACTGCAGCATTCTCTTCGGGTTGAGGTGTGATAACTCCAGAGAAGATGCAATTTGTAAAGTTGATTACCTTGTTCCAGGGGAGTGATCCAAACTGACAGCATTAAGTGTCTAAGAGCCCTATTCACTTAATATGAAGACTTAGCTGCCTTCCAAGGGGGTGATACAGATCACCTGCTAAATGGAGACATGTACAGTTAACCAAGAAGGAATGCTGTACATTTCCTGTATCTGAATCTCTGCTTCTTCTCTGAAGTTAGGTATCTGACCCAGAGTTGCTTACTGGCACTTTTATCATCTCAAGATCCAGACTGTCTGGAGGGGAAGTTTCTATCTGGACCAGGATTCCCAGCAGAGAGAAGCATTGACTATATAACTGAGAATGCCGTTCACACTTGGTTTTTTGTTTTGTTTTTTTAATGATAGCCACCTTATGCCCAATTTCCCAGTAGTAAGAGCCCTTGCTCAGGAAGTCAGTCATCCCTTTCCCCTTCCCAACCTCTCCACTCCTGCTAAAATTTAGACCCACATCTTTCAGTTCCTTAGAGAGTGCCCAACCACCAGACTGCAGGCTTGATTTAGATGCTTCTTTTCCTATTGATGTTAGCTTGCTAGGCAGCCAACAGTAAAAAAAATTCAAGGGACCAGGAGTGCAAGAAAGGGAAAATGTAGATATAGCAAATCCCATGAAAATAGGGAGAGTTGTGAGCTCTGGCTGTTCCTACCAGAGCTGTTTCTTCTTCTTCTTTTTTAAGCTCTGACTGTTTAATCAAAACTTCATAAGTAGTACAAGAAGAAAGCAAAAGAGTGTACTACACTCAGCTCACTGAGAAGTCCTGAGTTCTCATCCCTGCTGCAAGAACTATTTAAACATATGTATTACTAGACAAGTAAGAGGTCATTTGGGATCAAACAGTTTTCCTATCACTATTCACTCAGGAAAGGCTCCAACCTTTTTACAACACACTTTGAACCCTGTTATCTCCCTCAGTCATGATTAGTCTTTCTGTTTTAATATTGCATTACCAATATTTATTTGATTTAAGTTCAGTGTGTTTTTATTTTGTTCTGGGTGCATCTACATGTGTACAGTGCTATCCCAGTGGTGCAGTTATTTTTAGCTGCTTCATCCCCATAGCAACGTGCTATAATGAGGTAGCTTGTCATTACAGCAATGTAATGTTGGCATCATGGTTTGTGCCCACTGATGCTATGTTGCCATAGTGACAAGCTACTTCGCCATAGTGTGTCGCTACGGTGACATAGCATCTCATGTAGATGTGCCCTCTGTTGATTAAACTGTTCCCCCCCCCCCCCTTTTTTTCTTTTCTTTCCAAGGGCTTTTGTACTGTTCCATCAATACCAGAGTGTGTGAACACATTTTAGTTTTGTCTGGCTTTTGCTCGGGAGGACTCTTTCATGGCTGTCAGCCTCAAATGCTGTTGTAAGGTCCACACATTTCAGAAAGGATGCATGCCCTCCATTTAGCAAGGGATCATTCATCACTGTTAGTGAAGTGGTTTCAGTTCCATGTCCTGGCCTGAACCCAAGTTGTTCTGGGTTTGGAATATTAGCTTCAATTACTTTAGCTTGAAGTGGGCCTTTGTTCAGCATCTATATGGGCTTGTTCTGATCTAACATAGGACATAAGATGATTAAAAATAATACATTCAGCATGGTTTTCTCCATTGCTTGTCAAACTATTGCATGTTTGGGAAAAAAGAAAAGAAGGGAGATTATTTTTCTTAATGAGGCTTTGGCTATTTTGGTCAGCAGAGTCTGGATAGATATTTTAGGTATTCAAGAGGGCTGCTAATTTACATGACAGACTTGTATAAAGGTTTCCGGGAATATGAGAATGAGGATTGTGGTTAAATACTTGACATTATCCCCTGAACAAAATTTGACATTAAGTCTGTGTGGAACATAACCACCCTTGACAAGGAGGGGAAACTTGAACTTGCTTAAGTTTTTATCTACCATCATTTGTGAACTAAGACTAACAATTAAGTCACTTTCCCCTGCTCCAGTTCATATGTTCTCCTAAGAGAAAGCAATTTACTATTGGTCTTTTTTAAGAGTAAGGTATTATCAGTCTCAAGTAAATCAAGCCAACCAAAGGCAATTTCTAGTTCTCTGTACCAACTTCCCAGAAGGGCAACAAGCTGACAAGTGGTGATGGACCCAAGGCCTGAATGCTTATGGAAGGAGTACAGGGATTCCTTATTTCTTTGGGTAAGCATTTAGTTAAGCTCACAATTTAACTCCAAGATGTTGTATGCCACTTCTGAAGGATTGAACACAGAGGTGTAACAAAGTAGCTTGGAGCTAGGGAAGTTGGATGCATGTATCAACTTCCAACTATAGCCACTCCACTGGTATGATCAT